GATTGCAGTATCTAATAGAAGCTTATTATCCCTTTGAGATGACCTTCAGGAAGTAGACATGGCCGTGGGTTAACTGAATTGTTCTCATCTCCACTGCAAGCTCTGTGCATTGCGCCAAACCTAGTGGAGCTGTAGCTGGGTTGTGGCAATCCCTTTCACTTGTGCTTTCAAAGCAGTGGAGCTGTCGGGTGAAGTAAAAAGTGACCTGTCACCACAATTTCAGCTTTTTCAGACCAGGGAACAACTGAACTGAACGTTTTATTGGAAAGTGGCAAGCCACATGGCCCACTTACGATTGTTCATTGCCTTCCTGGTGTTTCCTCCTTTGGCCAGAGCTTGGAGGGTGCCACACAGTCCTTATCCACACCTGACGCTATTTACATCCAAGGCCCAGGGCCCATTTCACGCTCAAGTCCCACAATGTGGTGAAATGAAGCAAATCTCTGAAACCTCCAGGGATATTTTTGACGCTTAGACATTACATTCCTCTTGCAGCTTAATGGAGAGGACTGTTGTCTCCTTAATTCTTCTTTATTCCTTAATTTTCACTTCTATTTCTAGAAATAGGAACAGTCATTTTGGCATCAGAAAGAAAACACAAACGGATTGCTTTATCTCTCTGCAGGAGATGTTTGTGGTGCTCAGCATCCCACAGGCTCACCATGTTTAAATTTATCAAGGTTTCTGCAGACAGGGATGTATCTGGGAAACCCTGATGGCATGTTGCCTAGAAACCGAAGAACTGAAAATAGTAATCCAGGCCTCTGGCTTGATTTGAGCTCTGTTAATTGCGCTTCCATGTATTTCTGTGTATGTAACAAAAATGCTTATGCTTTGTAATCAGTTTGAAGACTACAGATGTCATTCTGTCAGCATCAGGCTATCAGCATAGTGATCTAATTTAGACTTTCTGTTACCTGGGTATCATGATAAGACCAGGATAAGATCATGACATGACATCTGGCAGCTCTCCCCCATTTATTGGAATGTAAAAGGAAACACAAAACAACAGATTAAAAGTGATCATGCTTTTGCCCTTCCTTTGTCTTACATCTTTGCCATCTTAATCTGCTGGAAGGCTTCCATGTTCTCTACATGCCATTTAAAATCAAGGATATTGTATTGTGTTTTTGAGTTCTGAAAGTCACCTTAACGGTTGTGCTGAAGAGGAATAAGCCCTATTAATAAGCAAATAAATTAAAGTGGGGTCTTTTGGAAAGTTTGGTTGGACTAGATGACCCCGTGGTCCCTTCCAACTCCACAGTTTTATGATTGAAATCAAGAGCATGAATTTTGGGGGGAGCGTTCAATTAAATTGTTGCACCAGAGGAAGCCAGCACAATATTTTCCATTATTGCAATAGGACTCCCCCCCCCCCGCATTCCCCAACTCTGTACCAGAGGGTCGGCAGAACCCCCAGAACAGCAAGCCGGGAGAGGGGGTGGAAAGGGGAGATCAGTAAACCAGGAATCAGAAATGGTTGCACTTATGGAACAATCTCTTAGCGCTTCATTGAATGCAACACTCAGTCTCATACTTCGTTGGTTTGGACACATGGCCCATTTGGAAGTTTCATGTAGAAAAAAAATACTTCCCTATACAGTCGTATCTTGGCTGTCAAACTCCCTGGAACTTGGACGTTTTGGCTCCCGAACACTGCAAACTCAGATGTGATTGTTTCAGTTTGCAAACGTTCTTTTGGAACCCGAATGTCTGACGGGGCTTCCACAACTTCTGATTGGCTGCAGGAGCTTCCTCAGCTAATCAGAAGCCACAATTTGGTTTTCAAATGTTTTGGAAGTCAAATGGATTTCTGGAATGGATTCCATTTGACTTCCAAAGTACGATTGTAGTTAACTGAACAAGGAAGCCTCTTGCAAAGGTCGCCTCATCCTTCGGTACAAAGCAAAGGATGTATGAGAGATACCTCACTTGGGAGCTCACTGGGTCAGACAAACTTAGATGGAGAGATCAGTGCCAAAGGGCATTACAGTGGTACCTCGGGTTACAAACACTTCGGGTTACAAACACTTCAGGTTACAAACTCCGCTAATCCAGAAGTAGTACCTCGGGTTGCGAACTTTGCCCGAGGATGAGAACAGAAATCGTGTGCCGGCGGCATGACAGCAGCGGGAGACCCCATTAGTGAAAGCACGCCTCAGGTTAAGAATGGTTTCAGGTTAAGAACGGACCTCCGGAACGAATTAAGTTTGTAACCCAAGGTACCACTGTACTTGGGTTTAAAGAGCAACATGTGAAGCATAGACTACGACCCTTTACACATGCACTGTTATATAAGTTTGTAATATGTGCAGTTACATTTGTCAGTCCAGGATTGGACTTTAATTACTTGTGAGAATCCATAGACTCAAACTGATCATGCCTGATCATCCTTCTTAGAGATGGGCAGGGTGGGGAGAGAACCCATATAGAAAACAAGAAAAGTAGGGAGACTTAAATGAACAAAAGCCTACTTAGTCATAAGCATCAGTCAAGCATATTTGTGGATATCTTAATTTTTGTTAGGGAGCCCAGTACAACCCAGTTAAAACATGACTGGGATAAACCTGTTTTGAAGAATTTTGGAGTTGGCCATTTCTGGCACAGCTGAATGTTGACAAGGTCCTGTTATCCATTGTGACAATTAAGCTAAAGAATTAGCTGTCAACTAGTGGTACCTGGAGGGCAAATGAGGCTGTTGTATCCATTGTCAGTTCAATGTTAATTCCCATTCTTGCATGGCGAATGAGCCAGTGAATTGAACATATTGCAGCGACTGCACCCCATCACCCTGTCCCCTTTCTGTTTTCTGCTTTGGCTTGATGTTAAATGTCATAGTAGGGTGCTCCTGAAATTTAATTATGACAAATACAGCACTACCACGCTGTTTGTTTATAAGGCTAGGAAACCCTGGGGGGCAAGAGGCCTGGACGCCTGCTGAGGTTGTTCTCTGTGACAAGGTGCTTCAATTAGGCAGCGCAGGCAGGTGTTCTTGGCAGTGCCAGGGACCGGGGGGGGGGGGGACGGGGACTTGTGCTATGCATGGCTTCATTTTTTGTACAGTGCCTCAGCCTCCTGTTAAAGGAGAATTATAGGAGCTAAACAGAAAAGGTAAAGTGTTGATTATTCTTTGTATTTGTGTTCAGTCCTTTAAATTCAGCTCCTAATATGTTGGTCAATCTTATAACTCCAAACTGTTTCCTATCCTATCCTGTCTCTATTTTATGTCAGACCTTACTATGGTCTATTTATAGTGTGAATCCAGCAGGAATTGAAGATATGAGGATCTTAAATTCAAAGTGTTGGAGACAAGGACTGGATTTAGAAATTAGAAAGGAGATGTTATAGTTTAGAAGTTTGATGAAAAGCAAGGTTTATACTGTAGAACTAAAAATAACTTTGGTAGTTTTTTCCGTGATATTGTCCCAACTCCTATGAATCCCTTAATAATAAGCAGACTTCCCTGGGAATGGCATGGGGGGGGAGTTGAGTGTCTGTGGAGTGGTCATTTTTTAACCAAAACAACGCATGCTTAAAAGATGCTGATGTTTTGACTGGAGAATCTGATTTCATCCTACATAGAGGATAGGGATATAGAGCAGGAAACAGATTGTGTAGAATAGCCAGCAGGGTTGGTATATTGGATGGAATGTTAATGTGTGTCTAATAGTACCTGTCTTGCAACTGATCCTAATCTGTGTTCTAGTTTTTCAGTTACAGATTAACTGCACATACTGTTTTGCAATTTGTAGATGTGATTTACCTTGTTTTTTCCATTCTGTTGCAGACATACAAGTCTATAAAGTTAAAGTTAAACTAAATTTAAGGTGGAATTTGCTGTTAGTGTTTATTAGTCAGCAGTAGGGTAGACGTTTGTGATAGAGCTCCCCGCCTTTGAACCAAAAACCTTTGGCCCAATCTGGTCAATGCCATTGAAAAATTGTGATTTGAAGGATCAATCCAGTTAAAAATGGCAGATCAGGAAACATAGCATGGTAGCTTGGGGTTGGTGCCAAGGGTACAAACATTTTGGCTCACCTTTGTGGTCATCATGAAACTGCCGCTCTTCCAAAGGGTGAGGTGGAGTTCCTGACCTCACACTGTGCCTCCCAAATGCACGGAAAGGGTACAACATGGCAGGTGTGGTGGGCATCATTGTGGTGGCCTGAGTGGCAGAAAATTCTCTAAAGGTGCACATCTGTTGCATGTACTTGCAAGTTCCTCCCATCAAGCAACATCACCTGTGCAGGATATTGGGCTTCCTGACACAATTGTGTCTCAGGCACAAGAAACTTCCAACACTGAACGTAGAACAGATAACCCAAGCAAATGAACCCAGCCATAGAGTCAATATGTCAAATGTCATGTGTACATATGCAGCATTTAAAAAATATTTGCTCATTTAACAAATGGGAATCTCTGAACCTGAATCCTATCCAAAGGGTTATTACTAAATCCACCATATTGAACCCCAAACAAATGGAAGGCAGATACCTCAAACCAAGCCAAATCATAGACTTGCAATTCAAGTTAAATACATGCATCTAGCCAGCACTGCTGCCACAAGCAGCCCACCAGTCACAACTGCCCCAAGTTACAAAACTTCAGGATTTGGAGGGAGCGGGTAGCCCAGTTGCTTCTGTGGTAGTAGCTTAGCTGAGCCTGTCCTACTGCTGCCGCCTTCAGTGCTGGAGGCATGAGAAAGCATACAGCTGAAGCTGGCTGGCTTGGTGACAGCTGCTTTAGACTTTGTGCAAACAGGAACAACATGTATTTCATTATCTGAAACCACACATTGCAATGATTTGGGTTTCAGTCTTGTCTTAACAGAAAACAGAAGCACCCCCTGAACTAGCTGTACTTAAAAGATATTTAAGAAATCTCTTACCTGTGTAGTTTCTCGAAGGGCTTCTTTCTATGTGTGTAGCCAGGGAGAATCTGGGAAGGTGATGCTAAGAGCACCTAATGGTCAACCAACACTGTTGCTTTTTGCTTTTAAGTCCCTCAGGTTCTCAAGAGTTGCACTGAATTCATTGAAAAGCATGGCATTGTGGATGGAATATACCGTCTATCTGGGATTGCATCGAATATCCAGAAACTACGGTATGAAGTTTTTTTGTGTTGTGATTTCAAGTCTCAAACATGCTAACGTCAGTTTTGGGGTTTGCTGCTGAATGCCATTGAGAATTTATTTCTGGTTTGCTCCTAAAACACTTAATTTTTGACGTATCGTGTATTTTTCCATGAATCCAAAAGTATCATTGGCTGGGACAGAAACCAGTTGTGTTGCTCTGAGGCCACAATCTATTATTTCAGAATACAGAATGACTGTGGGATAACAAGTAATTTGCAGTTTATTTATGGCTCTTGTGGATGCAGGCTTCAGAAACAGCAGTTGCCTCTTCTCTGATCCCAGTTGTCTGACTCACCATATTAGCTCCTGTGTGTCTAAACCTAGCTAATTTGAAACAGCAATTTCCAGACACGTTATGCAGCATGGAGGAAGCACTGCCATCTGCGGCCCTCTGTAGATGGCTTTTTTTTTTTAATGGCTCTCTCATCAAGACAGACCATTGCAGAAGAATTTTCCTCATGTGATTCTTGGCTCTGTGGCTTGCACAGAATCTGCATACAGTGATTTGGATCTGCAGGGCCATGGTGGCCCTGGGTGGCCCATCATGTTCACAATTTTTCTTTCTAGGTCTTCAGACTGAAAGGAAATGCTATTTTCATTCTGACAGATGGGGAGCTCTACCTAGCCAGAAATCTGTTGCATATAATAATTGGAATTGCTTGAATTTTGGCTGCATGAACGTTGAGTATATATCATGAAATCAATTTCATGGAGTGTTCCAGATTACAGGCAGTTTGATTGTTGAGCACGCTTGGTGGTTTTATAGCCAACTAAAATGGCTCCCAAGAAGCTATTTCAACTAGCAAAAATGTGAACCTGTAGGACCACAGATTTTTGTGGCTTGAGGTTTGAGGCATTTGTTTCTTCCTGTAAACAAAGTCCTTTTCATCTTTTGAGTATATATTATCCTCTTTTCTCTCTCTTTATTTCCCTTTGTCTCCAGGCATGAGTTTGACTCTGAGCAAATCCCTGACTTGACAAAAGATGTATACATTCAGGATATACATTGTGTGGGCTCGCTCTGTAAGCTCTATTTCCGAGAACTCCCAAATCCTCTGCTCACCTATCAGCTCTATGAGAAATTTTCAGTAAGTGCAAGACGGGACTCCTATTTTTACTGCCTGGGCAGCATTAGTGTGAGTCACACTTCAAAAATATCTCCCCTTTTCATTGCATTTAACAGTAGCTAAATTAAACTCCCATCTAAAGAACTGGCACGCTTCCTGTATATAATTGTTACATGAGTATTCATTCACAGTTCTTCCGGTGCAACTCATGACCTTATCTATTGCGCTTTTATGTGCCCCCGGAAACAGGATCTGGGGGGAAAGCCTCAAGGATATCTAGAATTTCCAATGATATAGGTCAATTTCTATCCAACCTCAAAGGGAAGCATACTCAGTTGTCAGAGCAGTGCAGTGCACCAGATGAACTTCGATTGAAGAGACCAGGGTTCAAATCCCCTACCAAATGATGTAGCTCAGTGGGTGACCTTGGGCTAATCAGTCTCTGTTGCAGTCCTGTTGTGAGGGTTAAAATAGGGAACAACTGCACATACGCTTCCCTAACCAGTAGCAGTCAGGGTGGAATTCCAAAGCAATAAATAATATCGTTGCATTCTAATGTAGGAGCAATACCTGCCTTGCAACGCCATGCTTGCTACATTGGATACTGAAAGTGTCTGTTCATTCTCAGCCTCATTGAACTGTGACTTCCATGCTGATTGCCATACTAGCAGGACAGCGTTCTGAAGCCACCCAGATAGGTGGCACCCTGCAGCAAATGCATGGCATTGAGGTTTGTTGCTTTTGTCCCTTTCTAGGATGCTGTGTCTGCTGCTACAGATGAAGAACGATTAGTCAAAATCCATGATGTCATCCAGCAGTTACCCCCACCTCACTACAGGTTTGCATCATCAGCTCTTTCTCAATGCACAGTCTTTTCTTATGTTCTCATACCCTGCTGGGTGCCTTTGATTGTGCAAGACTATGCCCCCTTTTCCATGCAGTTTTGGCAACACACCTCTGCCTCTCCTGGGACACAGAGACAGACCAAGACTATTCACGCTAATCTAAATTCACATTGTATTATGTGTGGGGGCCTGAGTTGATGTCTTCCTTTCTAAAGTGCTTTGCACATTCAATGTACAATTATATAATCATTCTTAAAAGGAAGGTTGACATTTTCTGTTCGCTTTCCAATTTATACCCCCTAAGATGGCTGGCATATTGAAGCAGCATTATTCTTGCATCTATCAAATTAAATGGTTGGGTGCATGCTGAAGGATTTGTATCTGCATAAAGTTGACTTCGACTTTAATTAGATCTGTAACAAGACAAACAACATATATTCTGCATAATTGTAGCTGACATTATGAAAAGCATGCTGTGGGAGGGGGCGAAGAATGGGGGCCGTAATAGCAGAACTGTCTCATTCTGTTAAGGAAAGGAGAGGTCATTAGATCTGCAAGGTATTTTAATGGAGGCAGGAAGGAGGCCCTGTAGAAACAAGAAAATCCAGGGTGTGAAATGGAAAGAAATTGCAAGAAATGTAGGTATGGCATCTTGCCTTTTAGGCAAAATTCTGCAAATTTGATTGCCAGTTAAGGTGAACTATATAAAATGCTAATGTAAGCATAAATATGCCTGACTATAGCTGGGACAGCAGATGTGCTCAGTTGCCAGCAGGGAACGAGGACAGCTCACTGAGTAGAGCTTCAGCGCAACCCACATTAAGGGCAGTAGGGAATGCTGGCAAAAATGAGTCAGGAAAGTGGTTGGGAAGCCTGCAAAACCTTTCAAGGCTTTCTCTGGCGAGGCTTACAGCACTTGGCTGCTTTTAGCATCTGTGGACATGCAGGATCTGTGGTGGTGGCGGTGGAGATACAGTAAAACAGAAATCATTCCTTGGTAACTTGGAGAAGGCACCAGGCCATTTCTGTGTTCCATACGAGAAGCTGGTTCCTCCTTTGTTATACAATGTACACATCTTAATGTGAACAGGAGAAGATTCAATTTTTCCCTAGGGTGTCTGTGGTTTTCTTGGGAGGTCTTGGCATGCTGAAACCCCCTTAGAATGAACTGAGGATAGTTGTTGCTGTGGCTCATTACGGGCCCCTGGCCTCCTTGCTCTGCTCCTAATAACCTCATAGACCAAGATAGCACAGAATTACCCTCCACCACCACCACACATAGCATTGTATTTTATAGGAAACCTATAATCAATAACATGTCTAAGTTCCCTCCTTGCGTGGCCAGGTTTGAGCCTTCAGTGTATGTGCTGTAACCTGGGGTGTACTCGTTTTATTCTGAAGTTGGATCATCAAGACACCCTGTGGCTGTGTGTGGTTGTATCCCTGGACCCTCTACCACATTATTCTTCAACAGACTATAGACCTTCAAATTCCCAGTTAAACATTTCTGTTAATTATGATCCAAGCACAGAAGAAGAACCTGGTTGTCAGTATTCCTTTCTCAACACTTTAGCTGGATGAATATTGCAAACGCTCCCTCTAGTGGCCACCAGAGAATGATGAAGCTTCCGTAAAATTTCCCTGAAGCCTGGTTGATGGAATAAATTAACAACCTTTCTGCCACAATGCAGTGAGGTGCGGAGCAGATGAGCATGGCTTTGGGGAAATGGTCTCACCAGCCATACTGGGACCTCTGGCAGGCCCAATAAGGCTTGTGGGTCAATGGACTTTTCAGAATACTGGGCCTTGTTCAGGGCACATTTTTATAGCACTTCAGTTTGCTGCTAAACAAATCCATATCAATGCCATTCTTTTTTTCTGTTTTGCAAAGTGTAGGACAATAACCTGAGGTGGTACCTCAGGTTAAGTACTTAATTCGTTCCGGAGGTCCGTTCTTAACCTGAAACTGTTCTTAACCTGAAGCACCATTTAGCTAATGGGGCCTCCTGCTGCTGCCACCGCTGCACGATTTCTGTTCTCATCCTGAAGCAAAGTTCTTAACCCGAGGTACTATTTCTGGGTTAGTGGAGTCTGTAACCTGAAGCGTATGTAACCCGAGGTACCACTGTACTAACTTGTGTGATACTCTTGCTTTCACCACTAACAGCTCTCCTTCATTTTCCAGGACTCTGGAGTTCCTAATGAGGCATTTGGCTCACCTCGCTGATTACTGTGCCATCACCAACATGCACACAAAGAACTTAGCGATTGTCTGGGCACCAAATCTGCTGAGGTACCTTTTTTTATTTGATTGAAGATGAGGTATCTTAGCCAGGATAGCCTTATGTTTCGTTTACACTCAGCATCCAGGACCTTCTGAGCTGAACGGTGGTGGTGGAGGGGGCTTTGGTCCTCTTGATTTTGATGGAACCTTGCATGTTCAACATTGGACCTTTTTGTACACATGAAACAAAGCAGTGGGTGAAGAAGAATCTGGAGTCCTCATACACAGAGATGTCCCTGGGACTCTGGGGAGCACGGCTAAGCTGGACAGGGAGACGTGTGCCCTCAGCCCAGTTAGATGCATTGTGCAGGAAATGTCAGGTGATTGGAGAGAAGAGAAGATTGCTGGCGCAACCCACGGAAACTAAGGGGGCAAAGAGAGAATGACTTCCCACACCACTCCTTGTTCCTCCGAGGATGAGGAACAAGAGTTTGCCAGCAAAGCTGCCTCCTAGCCAATGATCATGTCAGCTGGCCCTCCAGCCAGTTGGGCAGCTAATCAGATTCACTTGCATCCTGTAAGGCAGGGCTGAATAGGATTTTTTTTTTAAGCTCATTGAATGCTCCAACCTGTGAGCAACATCAATAAAAGGTACTTGCCTGTGTTTACCTTGCAAGACTTGGATTTCCCTCTTGGTTTGCACTGTCTTGAGGGACGGCTTGCCAGCCTCCATTACAATACGTATTGCTGAGAGCTGGTTCAGCATGTAGGCTCAGGCATGCAGCTTACACCTTTTAAAATGCAAGGAAGCCCTCCTATGGAAGCAAGCCCTCCTCAGGTGAACTATGCAGCCCTCCTTTGCAAGGGACAGATTGTGCAAGTGGGGAACACTGTATTCACGTAGGAGTTTACATAGATTCATAGACTCATAGAGTTGGAAGGGACCCTGAGGATCATTTAGTCCAACCCCCTGCAATGCAAGAATATGCAGTTGTCCCATATAGGGATCAAACCTGCAACCTTGGCATTATCAGCACCACACTCTAACGAACTAAGCTTTTAATACATACATCACCATCTCACATAGCATCAACATGCAGTAGGAGAGGGTGTGCAAGCCAGAGGCCCTAGGCTCTGCAGCAATGTGTGCACAGTGCGGCTGCTTTTTAGACTTTTACAGTTTGTCTTTCCATCATTGGAAATGCCCTCTTTTTCCAGTCTTTTATTGCAAGGATAAGTTTGCTTCCCTGTTAGTAGCTGGAGAATTCATGAGTCCCTTAGCATCTTTCCATTCTCACCTAGACAAATAACTTTCTCCACCTGCAGTGCTTAAAGTTTTTTGCAGAGCAGTTTGGGCACTGTATGAACATTGCTAATTAGAGCAAAGGAGTTCAGAAAGAACCAGGACAGCAGTTTCAAAGAAAGTAGCCTTCTTTGTGAATGGGAGTCACCAAACAATGTTTGTCCTTGTGCAAGAAGGAGAGAAGCCTGTTGTGTTGTACATCAAGTTATTCTGCTGATCCAGAGTTCCCCCTGCTTGGTTTTTGCTAACATCTCATCTCTCATGTTTTTCCTCAGATCAAAGCAGATAGAATCTGCTTGCTTCAGTGGAACGGCTGCTTTTATGGAGGTGCGAATTCAGTCAGTGGTTGTGGAATTCATTCTCAATCATGTGGATGTCCTTTTTAGCTCCAAACTAAGCTCTGTGATTCGAGAAAGTGCAGGTATGTTTCCCCAGGGAAGAGACAGCAGGTTAAAATTCAAAGAGTTCCAAAATTTGCAAAATATGTATAGAGCGGCATCAAAGTGTGTCATTTTCATACTTCACTGCCTAAATGAAGAAATGCAGGCTTTTTGTTGTCTCTTATTATCCCTCCCTACACTGCGAGCTAATGATGCTTAACAAATTTATAAAATGGAAGCATAGGAAGGTGACCCCTGTTAACTGTCATGATCCATGCTGATCATAGCGCTTTAAATTCTAAAAGCTTTCATGACAAATTTTTGCTTCACATGACGTATACTCTTCTGATTTTACATTCTCTCTAGGGTATTGTGTCTAGTTTTGTTTCCCTTGGCAAAAGCTGGAATACAGGCAGAGAATAATAACTTTAAGATAACCAGTAATTAATAGCAGGTAGCATTATTATACAGGAGTTGAAAGGGTGGCAACTAAGGAGGCCCAGAAGAAAGCAGGCCAGGGCAAGGCAAGGGGTAGGGAAAACTGCACAACATGGCAATGCTTCTAGCAACTGGCTCCAACCACAGCCTGATGCGTCCTGGCCTCCCAACTGCAGGTGTCGGAATTTGTTCTACACTTGAGAAGTGTTGCTGCTTACAAGCCCTTTACTCAAGAATCATGCAGCAACATTGGGCTTTCAGGTTTGAGTCAGCCAGAGGTTCTTCTGTCGGCAACCCAACCCAAGGATTATTTGAGAGCATCCCCTGGAGGTGGCGTCAGTGCTTGCTTCAGAGAGCTCTGTCTCTGAAGTTGTCAATCATTGGAAGGTCTGGGTCGCCATCAAAGGATTCGTTGGCTGTGGTTGCGTCTGGGCCCAGCATGACTCCTGCACACAGACTTTCCTAACTCATCTCTAGCAGGTCCTGCTTTCAGTTATCCAAGCAATCTCTCTTCTGGAAAACAAAGTAGTTGGCATGCTCGTTAGTCTTGAAAATGGACTGGGGAAATTCATATAATTGTCCTGATTATTGTACTGGCTTAGGTTTAATTTGTGGATAAAACTTGCACACACACGTTTACTGTGTGATGTGACAAGGGGCATTCAACGCCCATTAGGCAGTTTGCATTTGGGTGGCATGTAGGCTGACCGAATGTGTTTGAAGCAAATGGAGAGCTTCAAACGTCCAGTTTGCTATGGCAAGTTGTCAGTCCAGTCTTATTCCTACTAAAGCGTCATCTAAAGGGCAGGGAAAATAACATTATAAAAACAACTGATTGTTCTTAAACTCATACCAAACCTATTCTCATTCTACAAGCAAGTTTCGTAATGCAACTGTGGTCCTGTATTCATCTTGTTTTCGTGCTTTCAAAGTACCAAACAATCATATGTTCTGTTTTGGTGTGGATGTAGGGAACAAAGTGCTGTACTCTACAAACCTCTCCTGAACTGCTGCACAGGTTTGTCGTTGCTTCTTCCCCTGGTGCCTTATCTTCATCTGCCCTTGTTTTGCATTTTTCTGGCAGGTCACAGTTCCTTGTCACGGCCGAAATCCCTGCTGGTGTCTTCGCCCTCCACAAAGCTGCTCACCTTGGAGGAAGCACAAGCAAGAACTCAGGCCCAGATAAACTCCCCAATCGTGGCAGACAGCAAGTACATTGAAGTGGGTGAAGGACCTGCTGCTCTGCAGGGAAAATTCCACACAATCATAGACTTCCCATCTGAAAGGTAGAGGCTGTTCTCTTTAGAAGACATGTGCCCATTGTTATTGCTTTTAAGCTACAGGACTGACTTGCGTAGGGGAATTGTTGCAGCTGACTGTATGGCTGCTGTGCATTGCCTTTCTAATGATCACTTTCAAATTATCAATAGCAGAGTTTGCTGGGGGCGAGGGGAGTTGCCTTATATTTGGTCAATCTCCAGAGTCTTTGTTGGCTGTTTTGTTGAAAGATTCCTAAGTGTGTCAGTTTTAGACAGTTTGTGATTGCTGTTTCTTTGTTTGCTTATGCCACTCAGTATATTTTATATTCTGTAACTTTTTTTATTCAATTAGTGGTTGGTGGTCGAGTGATAAATTAAATGTTGATTTTTCCTAAATATTGGCAAGCTTTTCAGAGTTCTTTCTGGATTGGAGGTTGCAGAACATTCTTTTGACAGGACAACGCCTCCCCCTGAACTTGATTGGCAGGGTCTTCAGAGCCTTTTCCCTCCCAGGGGGTGTAGTCATCCCACCTCCAGAGCTACCCTGCCTATGGCTGTGTTTGGTTGGGTAGTTTCTTCTCTGGTGAAAATTCTTGTTGTTGAGCCATTTTCAGCCCCCCCCCCCGTTTCCAATTTCCTTTTTTTCTGAGCTAATTTGAGAATCCATCACTGCTTACTTTTACCATCAACACAAGCCCTTCCCATTACCCACAAACCACCCTTCCTATTGTTTTACTTCTTTGCCAGTCAGTGATGATTGGATCTGCAGTGGTGGGTGCATGAAAAGAGAAGAGGGGAAGGATTTTCTCCCTTCCCATCTCCCTAATGTCCTACATAACAGTTTGTTAGCACAAAACTCATGAGAGAGAGTTCTTGAGAGACCCTTGGGCTTCAGGAGCAAACATTGTTAATCAGCTTGTGCACCACCACCACTGCTCCCATTGCTTACCTGGTACACTTGCTAGGGGGCGCTGTTATAGAGTGGCAGGTGGGGGGGTCTGTTCATAAGCATGGGGGTTTTTAGAAGCTTGCCTCTCTTTAAAGTCCTTAAATTAATCTCTTGCATGAATTTTGCCAGCACTTGAAGCTCTAATCTTGATGGGTCACACATCTACTGGGGGTTGGTTTGCTCCTCTGTTGTAAATAAGAGGGCACCAAACATGGAATGGGCAGCTACCAAAAAAGAAAAAAAGCTGACACTTTCTCCCTCCCTTTCTAGCAATATCTTTGGCAGTGTGTGACATCCCTGGGGTGTGAATCTAACCGTTGCCTTTGTGTCCTGCTTGTGGGCTTCTCACAATGGGTGTCTGGGTGGCCATTGTGAAAACAGACTGCTGGGATAGATAGGCATTTGCTCTGATCCAGCAGAGCAGCTCTTACTTACTTTTAGTATTTTTATACCATATTTCTGAAAAAGGCCATGGTTGTTTATAACAGATCAAGGTGAGGGGGTGGAATCCCAACAGTGAGACAGGATAGGGTCTTTTCAGTAGTGGTGCCTTTGCTGTGGTTGTCCAAAGACCTGAGCCTAAGAGCAGGAAGGGGTAAGGGAAGCAGATCCTTCTGTCAACCTGTCCTTCACCTGACATTTTTGCATTGGGTGCTGTCAGCATTGAGTTGCTCAAGTTGGATCACAGACACAGTTTTAAAGTCTGATATTCTTTACTATCTCCCTACCTTTATATGCCTCTATCTATCTCTCTAGTGGCTTTTTATGTTTGCCTTTATTTTGTAAGGGATGTGCAGCAAAGTTACTACCGTAGATGATTTTCTTCTTCTTTTTGCAGCCAGGTATGCTTTGCCACAATTAGAGATTTCTCACAATCTATTAAGTGCAAATTCCTTCTTGCTGTCTCACTTCAGAAAGAGACCACCCAGTAAGATGAAGAAATCTCCTGTTGGCAGCTGGCGCTCCTTTTTCAACCTGGGGAAGTCGTCTTCTCTCTCCAAACGGAAGCTGCAGCGCAACCCAAGTGAGCCCTCCGAAATGAAGGCAATAGCCCTTGCAGGTATGTGGAGCTCTTAGCCAGGGCAATAGAGATTCTAAGCCAGAAACTATTGCAACGTTAACTTTGACTTCATGTGGAATGCAGGGAAGTCAATCAAAGAGCAGCTACACTTGTAGTTTTAATCTTGAACAGTTTGAAAGCTGTTTAATACTGTGATTCAGATCACCTCGATGTTCTAATGCAGTGGTCAGCAACCTTTTTCAGCCATGGGCTGGTCCACCATCCCTCAGACCATGTGGTGGGCCAGACTATATTTTTTGGGGGGAGGGGGGAATGAACGAATTCCTATGCCCCACAAATAACCCAGAGGTGCATTTTAAATAAAAGGACACATTCTACTCATGTAAAAATCCTGGACCATCTGTGGGCCGGATTGAGAAGGCGATTGGGCCGCATCCAGCCCACGGGGCCTTAGGTTGCCTACGCCTGTTCTAAGGACTTTTAAAATAAAAAGTGTCCCCTCTTACGGAAGGAAAACAAATATCTGTGTCCGAGAATATGTTCGCATTTATTAAATGCATAAAAATATTTTTTGTTATCCAGGAGGGCGAGGAGACAGTGGGACCCTGCGCTCAGCTAAGAGTGAAGAGTCCCTCTCGTCTTTACATGCTATAGATGGTAAGATGGAAAAAGGTCTTTGGTCTGATTCACCTTTGTGATGGAGGAGGGAAGTTGCTTGTATACATTCCTTAATGAGCCAAATCAGTCTGACTGATCTGACTGATTTTAGCAGCAATTCCACGGAATTGTTGTACCATCAGAAAACCGGCCCAGAAAATTTCACAGCAGTTCTAGAAAGAATAACTGGGATATAGTTTGGGGTGTGGCAAAGGAAGAAATGATCCTGACTCCAAACACCTGGGACCAAACTTTTGAGCACAATCTTTATTCTGGTTACAGACAAGTGGAAGAAAATAGAACATTGTTTGTAGTTTATATACTGATGACTATATTAATGGGAATCTGCTCTCTTCTTTGCTAGGTGAATCTAAACTGTTTCGACCCCGAAGACCAAGGTCTAGCAGTGATGCGTTGTCTGCTTCCTTTAATGGGGAGCTCCTGGGAAACATGAACCGCTGCAATTCCTATGATAACGTGCCACATGGCCACGAGAGTGACGGGGATGAGGGGCATATCCACGTTCCAGCCCTCATCTCTCCAAGGTCAGCAGAAGACGTTGACCTGAGCCCACCTGAGATCGGTGTGGCTAGCCTGGATTTTGATCCCATGTCTTTTCAGTGCAGCCCACCCAAGGCAGAGTCTGAGTGTCTTGACAGCAGCACCTCCCTGCTGGAGTCAGTGGACTTTAACAAAGATAAGCAAAACACCTTTAAGAAGGAACTAGACTCGGGCAGCCAGTCGCACACCCCTGGCAGCGCCACCAGCTCAGAACCAGTTTCCCCCTACCAGGAGAAGACCATGAGTCCTTTCTTCACTCTGGACTTGAGCCCAACAGAAGAGAAACAGTCCAAACCCATAACTTTCTCTGAAAATGTCGCCCATGCCTTCTCCCCCAAGATGGGGCGAAAGCCATTCAAGTCTCCGCCACTGAGTTTGTTGGAGCCAATCTCCTTCACCATGCCCAGCCACATGCCGGATGTTGTCATCGGAGGGGGAGCAGGGAGTGTAGGTCCTCCAGACTGGGCCAAAGGGATGTCTGGCACCAGTGAAGCCACAAGCAGGTCCCCACCCCACCTGGTGGTGTCCCCCTTGAAGGCCACTGAGGGGAGAGCAAACGAAGGATGCCAGCTGGAGTTCCAGAGTCAAGGAGATGCTAAGAAGCCGGAGCTTCTAGAAGAGGTGGAGCAACCCCTGAACAGCAGCCAGAGTAAGCCTGTACCTTCTGCACAGACACAGCCAGGTACAGTGTGCTTTCCTCCATTCTTTCTTTAAATTCACAAGCGACCAGCTCTCTCGCTTCTCTGCGTGCCTTTAAAAAGAGAGGGGGGAAAACAATCTGGTAATAGAAATCCAGAGTGCGTGTCTTCCAGAGCATGTGGAGGTTGCTCGGGTCCTAATAGGAAGCTTTGAAGGAACCCGAAGCTTCTCTGCGGCCTCCTTGCATCGCAAAATAAAAAAATAAAAATGCTTGAATATTTTATATATCCCTATATCTTTCCACTCTTTCATAACATGAAATGATCTCTTGCAGTCCTTGCAAATCAATATGCCACCTGATAAACTCTTTTATTTTTAACTTTAAAAAAATAATAAATAATAAATAAATCTGGCTACACTTGAAGAAGGGACCTTTTTTTTGGCCAAAAGTACCCTGAAATTAAATTGTACACAAGATCCCATCAAAAGGTTCTGACCTTTTCTTTCTGCATTATCTGCTGCCTAGCTCTCTAGGAATGCAACAGGAATCTTTAGACAATCTCTTGCGCTTTTCACGCCGAACTGCTGTCCTGTTTGCATGTATGACAGAAGATGCACTTTGTCACGCCAAGGAGTTGCCACTGTGAAATGTTGGAAGAATCTATTTTTTTATAATGGTCTATAGGAATTTCTCGCTCTCCTTACAGGATAAAGTAAATCATTCTCTTCTTTTTGTTTTTCTACTCTTCCTCCCACTAGGAGCAGTTGCCCTCGACTCCCCCAGGATCCTGTTCCAGTCAATTCTGTCTCTGTTGTCCCTCCTCCTCCTCCTCCGAAAAACGCTGCACGCATTCTAGCCTTAGCCCTGGCAGAGTCTGCCCAACAAGCCTCTGCTCAGTCCCAGAAGAAGCCAGATGTTCATTCTGACTGTACCAGTGCGGCAGAGACTGAAAGCGGAGGAACTGTAGAAATGTTCCATCCGTGTTCTGGCATCACTCCAGAAAAGCTCCACCTCTATGCTGCTTTGCCAGAGAACCAGCTCACTTTTCAGGCAGCTGCACTTGGAGAGCACCACAGAAGTGGGTTACCTGTAGACCAGGCACCTCAAATCAGTGGCATGCCTGAGGGCAGCAATCACTTACATGGCACACCTGGAAATCGGGACCATCCCCTCCTCCCTCCTGAAATGTCTGGAGATGTTCACAGTGGCACGAACATGAGCTGGGACCACACCCACTTCCATCCTTGTATGTTGGGAGACAACCACCACCTTGCTCATTCTGTTACGCCTGAGGACCAGAAACACCCTCCTCCTCCTCCCCCTCCACCTCATCATCATCATCCCTGTGCAAGAGGAGCAGTTCAATCAGAACCACCTACAGCAGAGATACCCATGGAGAACCCTCATCTCCACACTTGCCTCCCTTTGGACAAGACCCAAATTCATGCCAGCAAGCTCCACTTTCCTGTCTGCACAGCAGACAAAGCCCAGTTCCCTCCTGTCACTGCTGGGGAGAAAGCAGCTGCAACCGTCCTGGCATACATGATGATAAAGAACCAGACAGCAGCAACAGAAACGGATCCTGGAGTAGTCAGCCCAAATATTCCTCCTCAGCCGACCACAGTCACCACCAGCAGCAGCAGCAGCACATGGGGAGAAGCACCGCTCATGGCTGCTCAGCACGCTCTGGCTGGCAGCCAGCAAGCTCCAGTGCACAGACCAGGGGACCATCAGCCAGCTGTGGGGCAAGCCCCAGCTGCAGCTACAAAAGCTTCCACTGGATTCAGTCAGGTAAATAATCCACAGGTTCCTGTTCCACCCTCTCTGCCCAGCCTGGAAGTCTTAGGAGAATAGATTATGCCCATCGTGATTAATGGGGAAAACCTTAGGCAAAATCGCTAATCCTCAGCCTTCACCACTGTTTACCTGTCTCTGCTGGCTTTTAAATTTGCTTTCTTCTCCTCAAAGACAGAAAATGGTTGGATTTGCTCAGCAGGGTGAGATGGGGTTAATAACTTTTTGCCAGTTGCCAGTGAAGTTCCTAGACATAGCAAAACTTTGACAAAGAGGTTTTGGGGAAAGTCAGCCATAGAGAACGTCAGCTTTCAGTCGGTTGATGCTTGGGGTTGTCATAACAAAGGAAGCAGACATGTAGCAGCCAAGCTCAGCAGCAGGTGGTGGTCTTTCTTTGCCTGCTAGCTGTAATTACTTACAGAGGGGTGGAAGGAATTTTTTTCCTTCCATAGACAACAACTGGTGCCTTTGGATTGCGATGTGCTTTGAGATAGAGCTTTTCCAGTCTCTAGCTGGTTTCATTTCCTTTGCCATGGTAGTGGTGCAATCCTGTTGAAAGGCAGCAAAGAATGTGCAAGCTCTACTTAAGATCCAGATGTGAACTCTTGCTGTGCTTGGGGGAGCAGAGAACACTGCACCGGCCAGCCAAGGAGTCATTTGCCCATATTGCCGGGCTTGTGAAGGAGACCTTGTACCCACTCCCATGAGCCCAGTAAGGAGCAGGGTCAGTGAAGTTGTTCCATTCCAGCTAAAGAAACCAGTTCAGCTTGTCACCAAAGTCTGTCTCTGTCCTGCTCAAGAGTGTGCTGAGGTCACAACTAACGCTTGCTGTTCTTTCTCACACCAGGTACGAGGAGAGGCACCTCCTGAGAAGCTGCCCGAGCCTAGATCAGCTGAGCCAGCCCCCATTTTCGTCACCGAGGGCAGTGCCACGATCCAGTGCACTTCCGCCACTCCTCATGTCACGCTTCACCCAGGCCACTTGGAAAAGCCTCGAGAGAATGCCAGGGCCCCCCCACTGCAGCTGAGGTCTGACTCAGTCCCAGCTCAGCCCTCCTATGGATTTACACCTCCGGTGCCGCCCGTGAGGACGATGGAGAGTAAAATTGCAGCAGCCATGCATTCCAACAACGTGGACCCCATGAATGCTGCCAGTTACCACTCCTTTGTGGCTGCATCCACGCTGCCGCCACCCGTGGAGGAAGCTCCGCCCCCACCTCCCCCTCCGAAACACACCTCTCTTCAGTCTGCCTATTTCTCCCACTCCAAGCCAGAGAGCTCCCCTGAGCCCCCCGTGATGGAGAACTACGTGCATCACAAGCCGACATCCACCCACCAGTACAGGGCTGAAAGCATCCCGCCCCACCTCTACCACAGCAAGTCTGAGCAGCACCCTGGCTACCCCTCGCTGTCGGAGACCCCCACGTCCATGGGCCCCAGGTACAACACCTACGCCACTCAAGGGAAGAGCGCGTCCGTCCATCATGCCAAGCCTCGCAGCCGAGTGGAGTACTTGTCCTCCATGAGCCCCACCATGAGGAGCACGAGTTACGTGGAGGAAACGCCCCCCTACCCCTCCATCCGGAGAGTGCACTCACTCCACGTCTCTGCTCCCTCAGCCATCCGGTCAGTCCCCATCTCCCGCACCGAGGTGCCTCCTGACGACGAGCCCTTGTATTGCCCAAGGCCCCTCTACCAATATAAGCCATATCAGCCCCACACAGATTACCATGTCACTCAGCTGCAGCCTTACTTTGAGAACGGGCGGGTCCATTACCGGTACAGCCCCTATTCAAGCTCCTCCGGCCCCTCCTGCTACTCGGCGGCCGACGGTGGGTTTTATGACCTGGACCCTTACGGCACGATGAGGCTGAGGCCGCTGCACCCACTCCCGGGCAGAGACTTTGCGTCCTACTCCCGACTGCAGACCAAGAGTTTGTATCGCTGTCCTGGCCTGCCTCCCTACCCCCGAGGAGGCCTCGCTGGACACCTGGCGGGCAAGGAGCACAGTTTCATTAGCAGGGATGTGCCGCCTGCGCCTGACGCCAAGCCCATGTACGTCTCTTGGGACTTGGAGGACATGGAGAAGTACCGGATGCAGTCCATTCGCCGAGAGAGCCGCGCACGCCAGAAAGTGAAAGGGCCTGTCATGTCCCAGTACGACAACGTCGCCCCTCTGCTGCAGGATGAGCTGAGGACTGTGGACGTCGTTCACCTGCGCAGCAAATCCGATCCTGGGAAAACTGGACTCCTCACGGTTGCTGATGGAAAGGAAGGGAAGTATCCGGGCAAAGTAGTGCCCCCTGAAGGGGAGGAGCGCTATTATGTGCCACATCCAGAACCGGACGTGGACAGAGCCCATTACCACGGAAACTATGGGAATGGGCAGTCAGAGAAAGCGTCGCTCCCTCAAAAGCAAAGCAGCCTCAGGAGCAGGAAGCCGCATGAGGCGGGCTGCAATTCGTCTGAGCACAGGATGCACCTGCCCCATGAAGCCAGCCACAGGCAGCCACTGGAGTCTAAAAACGGGCCCCCTTATGCTGACTACCGACCAAAGGGCCACCAGGAACCACCAGAATCCACCGGGTACCAGCACTCCGGTGGGAAGTACGCCCCAGCCAGCCACGATGCCTTGAGACTGAACCACAAAGAGGTGAAGCTGGCAGAGGACAGGCCTGATATGGAGAGACATCGGGCCAGGCCGCCTGCCGCTGCTGAGAAACACGCCCGGGACTGCTTTAAAGAGGGCGAGCACTACGGACAGCCCGCAGCACCACCCCCTAAGCCGGAACGGAGCCACAGCCTCCGGCTCCAGCACCCCGAGAGCATAGAGCGGGACGCTGCCCTCATCTACCCATACCAAACCCTTGGCAAGCGCCAAAGCACTATGACGGTGGTGTCCCAGTATGATAACTTGGAAGACTACCATACCATGCCTCAGCACCAAAGAGGGGGTTATGCTGCAGGAGGGGGCTTGGTCCCTCCCTTGGCTCATCCACATAGTAGGACTTACGCCACAGCCTTGGGACAGGGAGCATTCCTGCCCACAGAGCTCTGCCTGCAGAGGCCCGAGACTGAGATCCATGCAGAGTGAGCTCCGGGGCAGAAGGTATAGAGTGTAAGCAGCCTCTGCTGGACAGTGGACTGGTTTATTTTTTCAGTGATACACACACACAAAGTACCCCATCGAAGCAACTCCCTTTCCATTAGCGCCCCTCAGCTCCCTCCCCTCCAGCCCCCATGCCGCTTACTGTTTTTTATATCGTAAATGTATAGTTTTATCTTACATGGTCTAAAAAGTAGGTTGCAGCAGTCTTGCAGGCTTTTGTTAACCTCGAAGACAAAATCAGTCTCCAGGCAGCGCAGAAACAGAGATTGAGATTCAGGGGTCATGCTGTAAATGGTTCTCACTTTCCTTAGATTTTGAACAGTGGCATTTCCCATAGCTTTGACACTTTGCTTCAGAGCCCTGTGCATGATGTATGTATTGATAGGATGATGCAGACATTTCTTCTCCAGGTAAACTTCCCTTGTATGTGATCACTAGAGAGAGATTTATTGAATGGCAAGATTTAGTAAATATTTTAATGTGGTTCTTTTAGGCTTAATGCACCAAACTCTGGGAAAAGACTATTTCGCATTATTTCTTCCCTTCTGCAATCCCAGATTTTATTTTATTTTTAAAGCAATGGTACCTTTCTGCTTAAAATGTTCTTCCAGTGCTTCTTAGACCCAATCTAATAAGAAATATGTCCATTGATAGCAGTAAGATGTGACCCTACTGGTAGCTGGGAAAGAGGTGTTGCCCAGGTAAATTCTTTTTTCTTAAAAGGTAAAGGTAAAAAAACACATAAGAAACTACTTCATCAAATATTGAGAAATCCAGGGTGGGGGTCTGGGGAGAGAGAAACTCAGCATTGATATTGTTGTAAATGGTGCTTTGGTTTGATAAGCGAGAGCTGCATTTCTTAGCTTCTTACAGCAAGTGCGTTTCCTATAGCAGACTCTTTCTGCTGGGTGAAGTGGCAGAAGAGTTGGGCTCTGGCCCACCGCCCAGGAATTTCAACAAGGCAGGCCTGCGAGAGATAAGCTGTTTAACCTCCCTGCTACATATCATTCCATCATCAGTTAACAAAGTAAATCTGTAGTTCTGCCTGGTGGTTCCCTGATCATTGCTGGTTCTCTATGAGTCGTGACAAAGGCCTGGGCATGTAAGTGTGGATTTAGTGACCAAGTCCTCCACCGTATGCACCTCCCTCATCATGTCAGTAAGGCAAACCACTCTGTGAATTTAGACTGCTGATTCTCCACACGCTGCTGTTGATGCATCAGTGCATTGTTATCTCCCATGTTTTGTTTTGTTTTTTAAAAAAGATCCTCGTGGAAGCAAGATAGCGTTTTAGTTTGCTTTTCTAGTGAAGTTATATGAATATGCAGTGCTTTTTAAACGTGTTGTCCTTGCTGGAACAGGAACCAATAGATGCCTCAGGATTCCCACTTTACCTTGTAAGAGTCAGAGCAATGAAGGCTCTTGCCATGCAGCCACCATGGAAACACGTGACATTCCAGCAGACAAGACGCAGTGGGTTTTGCTTGGTTTTTACGACCTTGAAATGAGATGCAGAATGTCCAGAGCCCAGCCCAAGGTGCAGTGTGTTTTCTTGTTCTTGAACGCCGAAGCTCTGTAGCAGGGCTGAAGTCCAGAAGAAGTATCCAGCTGGGGCATCTCTCTGCCCTAGGCCCTTTCCGCTAGCACCAGAAGAAAGGAATTGGATCAAACCACCTTGGAACTGAAGTTTTTGTCCAACAGCATTCCATCTTTAAAATGATAAGAGAAATATTTTACAGGGCACAAAGCACTTCTCAAAGACAGCTTGTCATTTTGTTCTTTGGATTTCCCAATATTGTCTGGGGTTGTTACAATAAGAATAGCTTGTCTCTCTTGGTTTTGATTATTTTCATGATTTGGTAATTCTTATTTTAGGGGCATTGCTCCTGACTGTGTTAAATATAAATTTAGTGGCCAGAAAACTCACTGTGAACCAGGTTTACCTCAGCCTCCGCCCCCTGCCCTGGTAAGGAAGTTAAACATTTTTTTGTTTTGCAGTTGAAAGGAGAAATCTCTAAATAGGACCATTCCAGTTTGGCAGTTGTATGGAGCAAGCTTGCTTTGCTTTCTACAAGCGATCAAATTAGCTATCCTCCTTTGTGCAGAGTAGCAGAAGAAGCCTTACCGTGGCCTGCACAGACTTCCCCCGAAGTTCATTTGATTTTGGCATCCAGCCATGTTAAGTTCTTCAGCCTCTTGCAATGGCTGTGTTGCTCTCTATTGAGGTTCTGTCCAGAGTTCCAGCAGGCACATCCCATTATGTTGAGAATATTTTGAGGTTCAGGTAGCGAGGGCTACAGGACAAGCCTCTGTCTTCTTGAAAGCCTTAATTTTCCTTGTATCCTCTCCATATATCAGCCTTACATTATCTGCCCTCCAGGTAAGATCAGGACCAAGCCAACTTCCTGTAAATCATAATACATTGTGGCAGCCCTAAGCAAACACTAAAATTTCCCTCAGCTCACAAATCTCATCCCCCTGTAGAGATAAAGTGCTCACACAGGTCAGATTTTGAATTCTACCACTTTCTGTAATTCCCATAACAGTGCTTAAACAGCATACGAGTCCCCTTAGCCAGACCATTTTGTCAGAGCAGTTTCAAAATCATGACATTGAATTTTATCACCCCTCGCTTAATCCACTTCACTTGGCTCTGTTTGTGTCTAATCACCAACATGACTTGGAGGCTGTTGGTCCAGAAAGTGTTGTGCAATGGTGTGGCAGTACAGCCTTGAGTGTAAAAGGAAGCGATTAAATTCGGAACTGTTTCCTAAGCTTGAAGGAGCAGTGACAATCGCCCTCTTTCCCTGTACATTTTTGCCACTCGAGTAGCTGGTACCTTTAAAAAACAAAACAAAACCCTCTTCCCCTCACCTAAGAAAGCCATAAAATTAACTATGCAGTCCTTCTCATGTGCTGTGGTTAATTTTGGGACTCTCTAACCATTAGAGAAAAGTCTCTTGCCCCATTCCATGTTTCTGTGTGTTTGAACCCAACCACAGCTCTGCTCTCACCACAGAGGGAATAGCAAGCGGGAAGGAAGTGGTCAGGTCACCTCTCATACCAGTGGAAGAGTAGAGGAATGCCTGCAAGGGAAGACAGGCTGAATGAGGAATTCAACTTAAATCAGCCATAAATTCCAGCCCTTTGTCACCTGTAGCAACCTGACCTCTGGCCTCACCTGGCAGGTTCTTGCTCCTTTTTGTCACTCACTGCCTTTACCTTAATTGCCATTTGCTGAACTTTCAGCGGAGCTTGCTTTTTTCCACCGTTGGATATCCAGATTTGAATTCCCTCGCAGTTAGGGTGCATGCATCTTAAGTCCTGAGTTTCCCTGTCTGTTCAGAGGGGAATCAGGTCCTGCTCATGATAGGCACCTTGAGCAGATCTAGCAGGTACTTCTCACCTTCCTGGTTCCTCCTTCCTTAACCCTGCTTACTCCCCAGTCTGCACCTGTTTCCTCCTCTGTAAAGTTCTTCCTCTTGCTGTCCTTGCTTCTTCGTCTACTGTACCCCCACCCCCGGTGTCCCACCTCACGCAGCTCCACTCTTGGCCCAGACATCTCCTTGTCCTGTCCAGCCGGGTAGTTGCGCAGAGGCAGCAGCTGCCAGCCACACTCCCCTCAAAATCAGGTTAAAATTTTATGCAGAGGACAGTGAAAACATTGTGCCTATGTCTTTGCAGACAAAACCGGGGAGGGGGCTTATTCCTCAGAGGGGGTGGGGGTGGGTCTCATCAAGAATTGCACAGCCGTGGCAGAAATTGCCACACAAAGCCAAAACCCACTTTGAACTCTGATCCCTTTTGGAAGAGCGAGTTTTGGGCCCTTGCATACTCTTCCCCCATCCCACCCCCAGTTCACCTCCTTAGGTACGTTGATGATAAAGTGTTGACTGACTGCAGTGTGACATTATATGTCAGGGAACAGAGTGGTAGGTTCTGGGTTTCTGTTTTCCTTTCTAAAGGTGGCTTCGGCATGACATTTTCTCCAGACCCTTGTGCTACGGAAACTGAGGCGATGGGCATGGAAGAGTTTAACATGTGCTCAGTAACTTCAGTGTCTTCAGTAAGTTTTCTAGTGCGTAGTTCCAGTGCAAAACGAACAAGAAATGGTTGTTGTGCCGTTTATTTTCCTGCTGTGGAAAGCTCGAGTCATTTTTGAGCCACATGAGAGAACCATCCCAGGGAAGTCTTGGGTGATCTCCAAGTGTTCTCTTCTCTTTAATTTATATAGTGTCTTATTTTTTATTCTCTCTTCTTCTTTTTACACTTTTGTGTGTGAAAACTGGTGTAAAATGTATATGCCGATGAACTCATGCTCTTTCATGTAAATATTTTGTGGCACTCCCACCCATTCCTTGTAAATACTTAGATTCTCATTTTCTCCACACTGTTAAGAGGCGAGTGTGCTCGGTTTATTTTTATTTTTTAATTTTTAATTTGTACTGTAATGCTATGATCAAGAGTTGAGGTGTCTTGTGCTATTAAAACAAACAAACCTAACAGTCCCACAAAAGTCAGATGTACAACTCAACAATTAATGAAGCCAGGTTAAAACCTACTTGGTGGTGTCTGTGTGTTTGTCACTCCATTGCTGGGGATGGGGGTCAGTTGTGGGGACCTGCAGTTCGAGGGGCTCTCAGAAGTCTGTGACAGATAATGCAGGTATGCTGCAAAGCTACTGCTGGTAGATGGTTGAGTCGCCTTTGTTGTGTACCTGTAGCCTCAGTGACCTTAGAAAAGAGCCTTCAGTGCTAGGGAAGCTGCTCCTTCCAGAGCAGGTTGCACTCTGTCTTCCTGCCAGAGTAGAGAGGCCCTGTTTATTGGCAGGGGATGTACTTTGCCCAGACCACCACACCCTAACAGGTAACTTCATCCTCCAAGGCAACCGCTGCCTGCTTTAGGCTTCTCCTATGCATCCTTCCTCCTGGCCATGATAGCCTCTGATGCTCAGAAGCCTTCAGGAGGAGCCTTAAAGGTTTGTGGCCTTTTATCAGCCCAACCCTTACCTGCCTGCATCCTGTCCTGGCTGGTTTCTGGTGTGGCTACTTGTGAGCAAGCAGCCAGTCTGGCAGCTTCTTGCCCGGAAATGCATAACTCTGAAACGTCCATATTTTTCCTCACCACCTTGGCAAGAATTCTCATGCTGAGAAGCTGCTGATCATTTGCATTGTGTTTTTATTCCTGCTCAAGTAAGTTTGACCTTCAAGGGGGTTCTTTAATAGAAGAGCATTAAATAATCCCATCAATCCTTGTTTTCATCCAGGAAGGCTTTAAAAATAGCACTACTTCCCAGTGTGCAGCAGGTGGCTCTGGCAATGAAGCACTCTTGGGTGGGAGGTACGTCTTGGGAGCACACAGCCAAATCCTCACTGGGCAATGACTGGCTTACGATGTACAGTATTCACACTTGTCCCTTTTCCTTCTGCAAAGATCACAAAGTGGCCACCCCTGGAAAGAGCACGAGCCTCCTCTCCAATCCTCACATGGTCCCATCTGGTTTACAATTCCAAGAGCCAAGGATATACTCTGGGTAACAATTTAATTCAGCACACACTGAAAATGTCAATCGATCTATATAGCTATCAATGAATCTGGTGGTTTGCAAGGTGAAAGACAGCAAGTCACCACCTTGAAAAGCTTACAATCCAGAATTCAGTGCTTTGGAGACAACAGAGGAAGGGTAGTGAAACTAAGGGCAGAATTTGCACAAGCATGCATTCATTTTTGTTGGAAAAAGAAACCCAAGTGAAACAAGCGAGGGGTTTTTTGTTGCCTTGTCCTTCAACCCTTCATTTGATTTGATGCAGAGAACCCTTTTGCCCAGAACTCTTTCTTGCGGCAACCTCCTCAATGTTTGCACTCTTTCTTTGTATAATGTCCCAATGGACACTGCATTGCTGATCTAGGGAATTTCATATGAAGATAATTGCTTGTCTCTAGAAAGGGAAACATTGGATGCAGAGGCAAATCAGTTTGCCTCTAGCTGTTGGTATTCTATTGTTTCCCACTGTAGCACACTGGGCCATTCAAAGTGGGTGGTATCCAACTAAGTCATGTTCCAATTGAAATCAATGGGCCCAAGTCATGACCATCTTAAGACTTAATATGTTTACTCCAAGGGTGATTTAGATAGCACTAGCTTCTGGGACATCAAATTCACCATCGCCTTTAGCTTCCTGCCAAACTACAGTATATTTCATAAGGATTTCATAGAATTGTAGAGTTGGAAAGGGACCACAAGGGTCATCTAGTGCAGGAATCTTTCACCCAATGTTGGTCTTAAATCCATGAGCCTGAGATTAATAGTCTCAAGCTCTCTGTGCATTAGCAACCGGTTATTTTCTTTGGGTAACTGTCTAAAAGAGGATTTGATGGGGAAAGCACTTGGTATGGAAACCTGGTGCAATAGGGCAGTGTAAGCCCTTGCTTGACACAATAGATTTCACGCAACATGTAAGATTAGTGATAGCCGTACGAAGCAAATCCTGGAAGGGAAGATCACTTCCAGCTTGCAAACTACACAAGGAGAAAAAAATATTGCAGCTTTACCCATAATAACCACTGGAGGGTGCACTTACTCTCTTTAAAAGCTTTGGAGATGCATTATTTTGAGTGCTTAAGGCCCCCAGCCACTCATTACTCTGCAGAATTCGTTACAATTTTAAGTGTGTGTTTTAACCCATTCTCTAACCCCCTTTTTTGCTCTCTTCTTTGTAGTGAGCTGTCTTCTTTCTGTTGGCACTGCAGGTCTCCACTTTCACTGTTATCCCCCCTTTTCACTCTCCCAACTCTCTGTATCACCAAAGGTATATGGAGCCATCGCCCCTGCTTTCTCAGTTTCCCTCCTGAAATGTATCTCTGCAGTCTCATTTCTCAGTTCCTCCTTTCTCCTGGTTTACCCCCTTTGTGCACTCTTTTCTGCTCCAGCGTATATAGAGAGGAGAGAGAGAGAGAGAGAGGGTGTGTGTTCTTTGAACCCAATCTCACTGCAGTCAGCTTGGCAAAAAAAGAAAGAAAGAAAGGAACGGGAGCAGTGTGGGCATTTTTCCTACCTCTGCATTCACATTTGAATGATTTGGGTGGGCTTTAGATATTTCCACAATAGATCTAGGAAACTGCTGCAAATATTGAATCTTATAGACTTCCCCCAGGGGGGGGGGTGGAAATAGGTAGGAAAGGGATGCGAAACAGCCCATCTCTGTGTATATTTGTTTCAAACACCTGTGCCCTGCCTTCACTTTGGAAAGCAAACCTTAATTTAACAATTTTAAAATGCAAATTATATAAATATTATAATGGGGGTGTGTGGCAACCCTGAGAACGAGAAGCCACATTAACATGGAAGATTTTGACCAGCTTCCAGAAGGTCATTAAAGGGGGCCACAGTTCCCTCTGTGTTTCCAGTGATCATTCACAAGGGCAGGCTGTCCCCAAGAATCTGCTGGAACACAACAATGAGAAGGGACCTTCGTAGCCTTAAGAAGTTCATCTCCCAAACAGTGATAGCTGTGAAGTGTTGCTTATAGTTACGTAGACCAGTGTTTCCCAACCGGTGTTCCGCGGCACACTAGTGTGCCGCGAGACGTTGCCTGGTGTGCCGCGGGGAAAATTAAAAAATTCGAAAGACATCCGGAGAGGCGGCCTTCAGGCGAGTTTTAATTTTAATTTTCCTTCTCCCACTTAATGCCCCACGCTCGCCCGAGCAGCTTGCAGTCCTCGGTAACCACGGCGACCCGAGGGAGGGGAGGGAACAGGGAAGTTGAGGGCGGCGGCGAGCCGCGATGACGTCAGTGGGCCGCGCCGCCTCGCCCTGGCACGGTGTGAGAGCCCCGGCTAGTGGCGCGAGCTTCAGAATAAGTGGGATCCGCGTGCGCGAGACTGAGATCGCGGGTAAGGAGCTCAGCCCTGGGCAGGAGGAAGCGGGGCCGCACGTGCGGGCCACATCCCCACAGAGAGCGAGCCTCCCCCGGCCCACCACTCCGGGCAGGTCCACTCGCATGAGGGGGCGGCGATGGCGACGGCCGGCAGCTTGCCTGCAATGCCATCCCTCGAGCAGGCGAGGAGCCCGGAGGCTACCAGATGCGAGTCCTCTTTCCCACCCTGCTCGGGAGTCCAGAGCACTTGGTCGCATTCAGGATCTAGAGTGGGGAAGCGGGGCTTGTGTCTGGGCTGGACACATTGGGCTGCCTGTGCCGCTCGACCTGCGGGGAGAAATCAGGGTGGGAGTCACGACCGTGAGGCAGGGCTGCCAAGTGTGGCAGAAGAGGACACGGCCGTCGCACCTGTCCTTAGGTAGGAGCTTCTTCCGTGTCGACCTGCTGCCCTAAAGTCTTGGCTTTTTTCTTGGCTTTTTGGCGGTTGGCACAGAAGGAAGGCAAGGGGGAGGGGGAAAAATTTGAAACTTACACTTTCGTGCGTCCCTCCCGGCGTGACGCTGCGCGCTGACGTCACGGGGCTGTAATGGTGGTGTGCCTCGAGATTTTTTTCATGAAACAAGTGTGCCTTTGCCCAAAAAAGGTTGGGAAACACTGACGTAGACAGTTTCAAATGCATCTGTGAGCAAGGAATCACTACTGATATTTGCATTTGTTTCTTTCCATTGGGACATAAGCCATGTTTAGAGCTGCTGATGCAAACCCACAAGGAATTGTCTGCATGAAGCCTTCTGTGCCCTCAGGTTGCTCTTCCACAAGAGTCATCTCTGTCCTATTTTCAGCACATTCAGTACAACTGGGGTGGGCAGACTTAAGGCTTGCAGGATCTACTTGGTGGTGGTTCCTTTAGAACAGGCATAGGCAAACTCGGCCATCCAGCTGTTTTGGGACTACAATTCCCATCATCCCTGACCACTGGTCCTGTTAGCTAGGGATCATGGGAGTTGTAGTCCCTAAACATCTGGAGGGCCGAGTTTGCCTATGCCTGCTTTAGAACCCCAAAATACTCTTTAACTAGAGTCAGGTGCAAAATGGTGGCAAGAGAGGGAGCAGGGTAGCTTCTTAGAAGTCAGGGCACCTCTAAGTACATGCTCAGCCCAGGAACTTTCTTCCAGTACTGGATCTGAACCTGCAGCCCTGGCACACAAAAAAACACTCCTAGTTCCTGCACACAAGCAAGCTGTTTGGTATGTGCTATTTTAAAAACAATTGGGAAGGAAATCCATGCTGATTTACTGCAAATTACTTTGATATATACTCATAGACGACTACTGTCCAGTGCCGACTTCGAAAGTACAGCATCTTTTTAAAAAATGCCCCCAAGCAATGCTGTTAACTTTGTACCTTCATAGCCACGCAACACACCTCTCTATGGGTGCCTCCAGACTCAGTATTTTGTGGGAGAGATTCAAGCATCTAACACTAGGTTTGTGCAATTAAAGTGCTTTGTTTTTAAAAAGAACTGACTTCTTGCTGTTTGGAAGGTGGTGGGGGCATGCATTGAAATGTGAGATGTGAACAAATGATAAATGGGATGACATGTAAACACCCTGCAAGCAAAAATCGGGACGGATGCTCGTTCTGTAACCTCCAATCATTGTCCTATGACACCCCCCCCCAAACA